GGGTCAGAGGGAGAAGCAGACTCCCTGCCGAGCAGGGAGCCCGATGTGGGACTTGATCCCGGGACTCCAGGATCATGACCTGAGCTGAAGGCAGTTCCTTAACCAACTGAGCCACCCAGGCGTTCCGAGTGATTCTCTTTATAATTTCTTATAGGAGAGGTCTGATGGTAATTCTTTCAGCTTTTGCTTAACTAGGGAAATCTGAATTTTCCCTTCACTTTTCAAAGTTTTGACAGATATAGTTTTCTTGGTTGTAGTTGTTTTTTCTTTCAATATAATATCCTACTACTTTCTGACCTTCGAGGTTTCCACTGAAAAATCCTCTGAAAATCTTGAAGAACATCAACTGCAATCGAAGAGTCACTTTTCTCTTGCTTCTTTCAGGATTTTCGTTTCTTGAATTTTGAGTTTGATTATAATGTGTCTCATTTATGGGTTTCTTTCACAGTTTATTCTACTTGTAATTTGCTGACCTTCTTGAATTTGTATGTCCATTTTTTCCCCTCAAATTTGGCAAGTTTTCAGTCATTATTTTTTAAAATAAATACTCTGTCCCTTTCGCTTATTTTCTGGGACTTTCATAGTGCATACAGTGGCCCACTTGATGATATCCCATAAATCATTTAGGCTCTCTTCACTTTTCTTCATTCTTTTCACTCCTCTGACTTGATAATTGCAAATAACCTATCTTCAAGTTTACTAATTAATTTTCCTGCCTGATCAACTCTGCTGTTGAAATCCTCCAATAAAAATTTTCAAATTAGTTATTATATTTTTCATATCCAGGATTTGTTTGGGTTTTTAAAAAATTACTTCTACCCCTGTTAGTATTTTATTTGTTCATGCTTCATTTTCCTCATTTCATTTTGTTGTCTGTGTTCTCTTTTAGATCATTGAACATCTTAAAATGACTTTGGCAGGTAATTCAGAGATTTGTGTTTCTTAAGGGTTATGTTCTGCGGCTTTATTTTGTTACTTTGGGGCAGGTTTCCTTGTTTTTTTGTTTTGTTTTTGGTATGCCTTATGTTTTGTTGAGATTTGAACATTTAAAAAACAGACATCTCTCACAGTCTTTATGGACTGGCTTCAGGCATGGGAAGTCCTTCACCCATCATCCCAGCTAGAGGTTTTAGGACCTTAAAACATTTTCTGGGGATGGGTCTTCGGGGTTGTGCATATGCTTTCATTCTACTATATATGGCTGCTTCAAACTGTCTTAATTTCCTTAAGCAGCTTGGAGATTGTATTTCTTTTGTAGTTCTCTTGCCTGTATTCTGTTGCTTCCTTGGCACCTGAATGGGGAATTGCAGATTTCCTGCTGCTTTAAAATACTTTAAAGTGCTGCAGCATTTTCCTCTGTTTTTCTGTGACTTCCAACATTGCCACTCCCATTGGTTCTCCATTAGGCAAGACAGAAACCAGTCCCTTGGGCAGCCCCTAGACAAGCCAGTACATTGGATACAAGTTCTAGTCTTTTCTTTCTGTCCCAAGGGAGGAGCTTGGAATTGGAACATTTCCTCCTGATTGTGCCATGCCATATTGGGGGAGGGGTTGGGGTGAGAGAATGCCATAAGCTTCCTGCCCTTTTTGGTATTGGCCATGCATACATTTGCATGCTGCAGCATCCAAACTGGTTTCTGGAGTTTTTAAAAAGATATGTTTGTCTGTATATTGCTGTTAACTTAGTGTCTCTACGGAGATGAGGGCCTGGAGCTTCCAAGTTCACCATATTTCTGATGTCACTCTCATCTCCTGCTTCTAAGTTGCCTCTATCTTCATTTAGTCTTGTTTAATAGCTATAAGTCTTTCCTATTTTCAGAGTTCTGGCAAAATTAGGTCTGACATCTTGTGCTTGTTTATCTATCTTGTCTATGAAGAGACTAGAACCTGGAGCTACCATCTCTGACAATTTGCTCCCAATGGTTGCTTATGAGCTCCATCTTGGTGTATGAATAGGATTTCAATAGGTGGACAGGTGGTTCAGGCACTCCCATTGAGAGAAAGGGCATGAGCACATACAAATGGAAAAGTGCATTTTATGTGTTCTGAGATTACATGTAGAACATGGAGTGTATTCCAAGATAACTTATGTAAAGCATATCAACTATATAGAATGCATATATTATCATGAAGTTAATGATAATTCAAATCATAACCTTGTGATACTACCTAGGTAGTCATGGTGTTAAGAAGAGGTTTAACTGAGACTTAGAGGAAATCAGTTCAAATATATAAAATAGCAGAGAATGTCGGTAGTGTCTGCCCTTCCTGAGCTAGTTTTGGCATCATTTTAGTTTCAAAGGAGAGGCTATTATATCTCAACTACTAGGCTCAGCCCCGTTCCAGCCTCCGGAACTTATGCTAACCTCACACACAACATGGGATTCACGATTCTAATTGTCCCTAGTATTTCTTATCCATTCTTCCTTTCTGGTGAATGCAGTGCATCTAACATATAAACCTATATAAAATATTCTTCCATGGCTTCTCACTGCGGTCAGCATAAATTAAAATCTTCTCCCAAACCTTTCATGATTTGACCTTTTGATTATTCCTCTAGCTTTATCTTTTGCTATTATTCAAATTCTATCTCTGATCTAGTCAGTTCCCTGCTTTCAAGTCTCCTAGTCTTTGCTTATGTCTATAATATTCTTTGGTTCCATTTGCAGAGCTTTATATATCCTATTTGTCTCAGATTTGATGACACTTCCCTTTTTCTCACCCCCCAAACAGGTTATGTGTCATTCTATTAGATGAACAGCATCCCACATATAACATCTCCTTTCATACTTATGATGTTAAGCTTCAAGTTTCTTTCCTATATTTCCACCAGTGTACAAAATTGAGCATAACAAACCTGTAATCACCACTGTATTACCAATTCCTATGAAAAGAATAGGCATATAAATATTTTCACTGAATAAATGAATTTATTACATTACCAAGAGCATCTTGATTGTAAATAATTAAAGTGTAATAAAAACTGCAACACTGAAATGACAATATACTCAATACCACAAGCTCTGATTGGTTTGAAGCCTTAGAAGGAACCTGACTTCTGCTCTAAACAGAGCTGAATACATACCTATGAGAAGAGACAAGGCTGTAGTTTTTCCTGCCCCATTTTGTCCTACAAGAATAGTGATTTGCCCCTTATATAAATTCAAAGACATGTTGTTTACTACTACTTTGTCACCAAATTCCTGTGAGATAAAAGAAAGGATAACTTGTTATCTGTCACTATCACTTATGAAAGAAAAAACACTATACTCTATCCTTAGAAGAAACAACATTATAAAACAGGTGAAGGTAGGAGGTACAGGTTTCCAGTTATGCAATAACAAGTCATGGGCATAAAAGGTACAGCACACAGAACATGGTCAGTGGTACTATAATAGCATTGCAGGGTGACAGATGGTAGCTATGCTGGTGGTGAGCACAGCATAACATACAGACTTGTCAAATAACTATATTGTCCACCTGAAACTAATGTAACACTATGTGTCAACTACAACAAAGAAGTAAAAAAAAAAAAGAGAAGCAACATTATACTATCAAACTTGTGAAAAAAAGATAATGTTGTGAACAATGAACATTTGTAGGTGCACTGAGTTTGTATGTTAGGCAAAATTGATGTGAAGGCATATCCACATTTGGTAGGGAAATGGAGGCCTCTCTATATTCTATGTATAATATAGAGTGTAATATAGTAATTCTGGGCTTATTCAATTGTAGTAAGAGCTAGAAAACTTCATAGAAGTTGCCACTAATGAGAAAAACTGATGCCATGATTTCAGCCAGAAGTTTGGTGATTCACAAGAGCATTCTCCTTTTTGTTGGGGTCTTTGGGGTCTTTGGTTTTGGGATCAAGGTAATGCTGGCCTCATAAAATGAGTTTGGAAGTTTTCCTTCCATTTCTATTTTTTGGAACAGTTTCAGAAGAAT